AAGGGAACAGCAAGTTCAAAAGCCCTGAAGCAGGAAAAAAAAAAACATAGATTTTGACTAGCAGATACTTTTAATTGGTAGAAAATCTGGGCTTGATGCACAGATCAGGGAAAATCTTGTTGATAAAAGAAATAAAATATGTGCTGTGCATAGTAATCTTTAAGATAATTACTGGACTTTAAAATTTGTTTAGATGTAAAATTATCACAAACCTTGATTTATTCATTCACTGAAAACTTCTCAAAGCAATGCTGGCTGGAGTGAGAAGGAAAAATGTAGAGGTCTAAAGAATTACATGTGAGGGTGCCGGAGAGATGGCTCAGTAGAATAAGCTCTTCCCTGGCAAGTGCAAGGGCCTGAGTTCAATCCCTGGTTCTGAAAAAAAAAAAAAAAAAAAAAGAATTACATCTGAAAATGTAGGTGAGCAGGAGCAAGATCAGGTGAATCTTGGGAAGAGTTGGGATACTTTTTCCAAGAGGAAGGCACTAGAAAGTTATTTTAAAAAGGAAGTGGCAATGATGGGGTCTAGATTTGTATATTCTAGGCAGAGTGGATGGGGGAGTAGGGTAGTGGCACAGAGAAAGGTAGGAGGCCATGGCCATGGGCCAACAACCCTTGGCAGTGGTGCAGATGAGGTGGACAGGGCTGGGAAGCGACATAGGTATTGTGCATTATGTTCCACTCAGCTTCTTAGCACTCACCTAGCCTCTCCTCCTCTGGGATCCAATCCCTGGGCTTACTCTGTGGCAGCCTGTGTTGTTCACACCTTTGCAGGTCTATGCCTTGGAGTTCCTCAGCAACCTCTGCTCCCTGCAGCCCAGGCTGTTCAGCTTGGCTCCCAAGGAGGTCTTTTGCTCCAGTGAGTGGGTCTGAAGAATGACCAGCCTTCACTAATCTGCTCCTGCTCCTGCTTACATAGGAGGGGACTTGGCAGGGGTTGCCCTGGTGTGCTCCTCCTGCTTGTGTTAACCACAGGCCCCAACAAGGAGAAAGGCTAAAGGATTACTGCTCCTGGAACTCCCTGCCCCCTCCTCACCCCAAAATAGCTGAAGGAAAGGCTGAACTTTCTTCTTTCACAAGGAGACAAGTTTCTCCATTCACAGCAGGGAAAGAATATATTTTAGATTAGTCTTTTCTAGCAATAACAGGAATACAGTCCTACTAGAGAAAACTGGAAGGTATGAGAAGGAAGCCTAGCCAGTTTTCATAACAATACCATGTATTTTTTCCATGTTTTCCAAGTCATATATAGTGACTTTAAACATTCCAGATCAGACACACTGAACATAGTTCTGAGCCTCTTTTGACTTTGTATTAAGCTTTTTCCTGTGTTGCAAAAACCTTCCCATGAAAAATTTTAAACCTGAA